CAAATCCCCCCATTTTCCCCCCATTTACCCCCCAAATCCCCCTTAAAAGTCCCCAACCCCTCTCAAAAAAATTCCCCCATTTCCCCAAAATTCCCCAAAACCCCCCGAATTGGCCCCAAACCCACGGTGTGGGGGGAGGGGCGTCCCCAGCACCAGCTCCTGCTGCTGCTCCAGCGCCGACACCCGGAGCTCCAGCGCCCGCAGGGACCCCCGGACACGGCGGGCCTGGGACAGGGACCCCCATGTCGTGACAGGGGACCCCCATATCGCGATAGAGAGACCCCCAGGTCGTGACAGGGACCCCCGGACACGGCGGGCCTGGCACCACGGGGACCCTCATGTCGTGACAGGGACCCCCATATCGCGATAGAGAGACCCCCATGTCGTGACAGGGACCCCCATATCGCGATAGAGACACCCCCATATCGTGACAGGGACCCCCGGACACGGCGGGCCTGGCACGGGGACCCCCATGTCGCGATATATCGCGATAGAGAGACCCCCATATTGTGATATATCGCGATAGAGAGACCCCCATATTGTGATATATCGTGATAGAGAGACCCCCAGGTCGTGACAGGGACCCCCAGGTCGAGACAGGGACCCCCATGTCGCGATATGTCGCGATAGAGAGACCCCCAGGTCGTGACAGGGACCCCCGCACACGGCGGGCCTGGGACCACGGGGACCCCCATGTCGTGACAGGGACCCCCATATCACGATAGAGAGACCCTCATATCACGACAGGGACCCCCATATCGTGACAGGGACCCCCGCACACGGTGGGCCTGGGACGGGGACCCCCAGGTTGAGATATATCGCGACAGAGAGACCCCCAGGTCGTGACAGGGACCCCCTCATGTCGCGATATATCGTGACAGGAACCCCCGGACACGGCGGGCCTGGCACCACGGGGACCCTCATGTCGCGATATGTCGCGATAGAGAGACCCCCAGGTCGTGACAGGGACCCCCGCACACGGCGGGCCTGGGACCACAGGGACCCTCATGTCGCGATATGTCGCGACAGGGAGACCCCCAGGTCGTGACAGGGACCCTCATGTCGCGATATATCGCGATAGAGAGACCCCCAGGTCGTGACAGGGACCCCCAGGTCGCGATATATCGCGATAGAGAGACCCTCATATCGCGACAGGGAGACCCCCATGTCGTGACAGGGACCCCCGGACACGGCGGGCCTGGGACCACGGGGACCCCCAGGTCGCGATATATCGCGATAGAGAGACCCCCAGGTCGTGACAGGGACCCTCATGTCGCGATATATCGTGACAGAGAGACTCCCCGGTCGTGACAGGGACCCCCAGGTTGTGACAGGGACCCCCAGGTCGCGATATATCGCGATAGAGAGACCCCCAGATCGCGCCAGGGACCCCCACATCGTGATAGAGGGACCCAGAGACCTTTCTATCGCGACAGAGGCACCCCCATGTCGCGACAGGGACCCCCATGTCGTGACAGAGACCCTCCCATATCACGACAGAGACCCTCATATCGCGATAGAGGAGCCCCCATGTCGCGATAGAGGGACCCCCACGTTGCGATAGAGACCCTGTGTCATGACAGAGAGACCCCCATATCGCGATAGAGAGATGAGATGCAAATGAGACGCAAATGAGATGCAAATGAGATGCGAGCGGAGGCCACACCCACCTGCTCCAGGGCGTCGTCCCCGGGGGGGGGTCTCGGCCCCATCAGCCCCTCCCCCTCCTCCGACGAGTCCTCCGACGAGTCCTGGGGGGGGGGGAGACCCCAAATTTTGGGGGACTTTCACCCA